CTTCACAGCTCCCTGGGAAGCCTTCAGGAGAACAGGTGAGTGTGAATTCTCTCTGGTTTTGCTGGTTTTATTGTAAAAAATAGGGTAAAAGTGGTGGCCCTGCTGGGGCAGGGGTGAAGAACTTCAATATCTTGCTTTGGGAGACGGGGTCTGCTGGGACATGCTGGTGTCTGGGTGATCTCTGTGCCTGATGTGGTCCTGGGAGATAGGGGTGAAGAACTACAATATCTTGCTTTGGGAGACAGGGTCTGCTGGTGTGATGCTGGTGTCTGGATGATCTCTGTGCCTGATGTGGTCCTGGGAGACAAAGGACCAAGTTGTTCCTTGGGATTTTGCACCAGGAGGGGCTGTAGTTAGTGCTGGAGCCCTTTTGGGGGTCGCTCCCCAGGTGGGTGACAGGAAGGACAGAACCAAGTTGTTCCTCAGGGGATTTTGCACCAGGAGGGGCTGTAGTTAGTGCTGGAGCCCTTTTGGGGGTCGCTCCCCAGGTGGGTGACAGGAAGGAGGGGGGTTCTGCCCAACAGGAGCAGTGTGGCTGGAGGGCTGGACTTGGAGGTTTCCCTCTGGCCCAGGGGCTCTGCAGCAACAAAACCACATTTCCCATGGATTCCTGTAGGACTGTGGTTTTCCTGTGTCTTGCTTCACTCGATGCAGAAACATCTTGAGTCGGTCACATTTGAGGGATGGTTATTGTAGTAAAAAGTGCTTTTTTTTTTTAATGGATTATCCTGAGCTGGTGACATTGTTTAGCCGTTTGAGGAAGGGGGATGACAAAAGATGTGCTAGTGCTGGAGCCCTTTTGGGGGTCGCTCCCCAGGTGGGTGACAGGAAGGAGGGGGGTTCTGCCCAACAGGAGCAGTGTGGCTGGAGGGCTGGACTTGGAGGTTTCCCTCTGGCCCAGGGGCTCTGCAGCAACAAAACCACATTTCCCATGGATTCCTGTAGGACTGTGGTTTTCCTGTGTCTTGCTTCACTCGATGCAGAAACATCTTGAGTCGGTCACATTTGAGGGATGGTTATTGTAGTAAAAAGTGCTTTTTTTTTTTAATGGATTATCCTGAGCTGATCACATCCTTTAGCCATTTGAGGAAGGGGGATGACAAAAGATGTGCTTGAAGCAGTGGTCAGGTTAAGGAACTGGGTATCAAATGGTTCTGGGCTGAGTATTGCTGCCTGGTGAGATTTCCTTATGATTTAACAGACTGTGAGTCAAAACTTTAAATGCTTTTAGAGTCCTTTTAAAGCATCTTGAAACGTTGTGCTAACAAAGCAGCAGTAAGGATTTCAGATTTCTCTGTGCAGGTTGCTGGAGTCCTTCACCCAGCTGGTGGGGGTTTACTTGCTCTGCGCCTCGTTGTCTGATAGGTGACAGGATCAGAAGGCTGCTTTCTTTATTGCACGTTACTTCTTGTGCTAAGAAAATGCTGATTGAACTTCCTTAAAATGTAAAAGTGGTGTAAACTACAATGTGTGTCTCGGGAGGGCTGTTAAACTCCAGCTCTACTAATAGCTTCAGAACTCAGGTTTAAGAGAGGTTTTATTATGGAACACCCATGTGCTGTTAGGGCTTTGGTTTTTAATGGTGAAGGTGAAGATCAAATGGCCAAGAAGTTCAAAAAAAGTTCATATTTACATGGAAAAAAAAAAATTATGTCAGGGTTTTGTTTATTTACAAGGACCTGCTAAATAGCTCTGAACCAGGGTATGAATTTGCCCGTTCTCTGCCGCTGCTGGGACCGTGCCAAAGCTGTGACCTGCAGGTGGCTGGGGTGAAGCTGGGACTCTGTGAGCCCGGAGGCTGATGGAGATTTCTGGTGGTTTTGGGAAATCCAGGCCATGTGAGTGAGTAGGCAGCGGCCGTCAAAAAAACCTTTGACGCCCAACTTACCGGCAGCGTCCTGGGGAAAGCACCCACGGGGAGCAGCCACCCCCAGGGGCTGGGCAGGAGCCCCGCTATAAAAATATCTAAAATCCAGCCAAGACTTCTTGTAAATTGTCTGGAAACCAAGGTGGAAGGTTGTCACTAAAATTAAACCGGGTTCTTCAAGCAAACTGGGATTTTTTTCCTTTATCTGACATCTTTCTAGAGCTGCCTCCTGCTGCTTTCTAGAGGCTGCAGCAATTCTTGCTCCGTTTTGGGGGATTTAGGTGTAAATCTGTTGCTGTAAAAGACTGGGAGGATTTGAACTGCGTGTGTGCCCCTTACGTTTCTGAGTGGGAGCTGTATTTAAGGAGAATTTTGTTCTTTCTACAGAAAACGTGTGTATTCAGTCAAACCCTTCTTTTTCAGGTTTTCCATGTACATTTTATGATTTCTGGCAGCTTTTTGGATTCCTGTGCCCGTCTGTTGCTCTTTGAACAGCAAAGTGGAAAAAAACCCTCAGATACTAAAATAAGAGAGAGATGTGGATTTTTATTTTCTTTTTTTTTCAATTTTTATTTTTTTAACAAGTCTGGTCAAACCACATTTTCCTCTGTCTGTGCTTTCCATCAGTCCAGCCGGGTTTAAAATTCCAGCTGGAGTAAGGGCTCGTTGAACCCGATCCAGCAGCGGAGCAAGAATTGCCTGGTTCTCTGGAGCCAGAAGTGCCCTAAAAACACCACGCGACAGAAGCTGAGCAGAGAGGTCTGAATCTTTGGATTTTTAGGGTGGGTTTGAGCCTGTTTCCCTCCGAGTAGAGCAGGCTCCTGGTCTTTCTGTTCCCCCATCCCCTGCAGATGGGGCTGCGAATGCTCGGAGGAGCTGCAGGGCTCATCGTGCAGGCGAAGCCGTCCCTGCCTCCTCCTCCCCCGGTCGGGGGGGACACAGGTCTTTGCACACCCCAGTGCCCACACGCATTAGTGTCTCAGGTCTTGTTTTTACACCTACAAGGTCAGTTTATAGCCTTTTTTTGGTGCTCCCCGGGGTGGCTGATCTGTCACGTTGTGGCAGGTGCCCGAGCGAGCTCGTTTGCCCGCAGAGGTGGAGAGCTGGGGCTAATTGGAGGGAAATGGGGAAGCCACGTGTGGCTGAGCAGCTCCCTGCAGGTGGTGGGTAGCCGTGACCTAGTTGTTGGTGGAATTATCCTGCTCGTTCTGAGACCCCTGAGCTGTTTTGACAGCTGGGAGCGAGCCGACCTCTGTGAGGTACCTGGGAGGAAGCAAAATCGGAGGAGCTGAGGATGGTCCCTGCTGGTGGAGCTGGGCTGTGCTTGCTGGGGGATTCAGTTTATAGCCTTTTTTTGGTGCTCCCCGGGGTGGCTGATCTGTCACGTTGTGGCAGGTGCCCGAGCGAGCTCGTTTGCCCGCAGAGGTGGAGAGCTGGGGCTAATTGGAGGGAAATGGGGAAGCCACGTGTGGCTGAGCAGCTCCCTGCAGGTGGTGGGTAGCCGTGACCTAGTTGTTGGTGGAATTATCCTGCTCGTTCTGAGACCCCTGAGCTGTTTTGACAGCTGGGAGCGAGCCGACCTCTGTGAGGTACCTGGGAGGAAGCAAAATCGGAGGAGCTGAGGATGGTCCCTGCTGGTGGAGCTGGGCTGTGCTTGCTGGGGGATGTTCTGCCTCCCACAGCTGTGTGAGGGTGAAGGGAGCATCTGGCAAGCAGAGGTTGGCATAACAGATAAGGGCAAGGCCCAGAAGGGGCAGGAGGAAGTGATGTCTCTTCCATTTGGCCGTCGTGATACTGTCTTGGGAGGTTTTCTTGCTTCCACAGCTGGATTTTTGTTTGGCTTTGTCACTTCTCCTTCCCTGGGCAGGCTCAGAATCGGGAGGTGTCTCTTGGTGAGGGCCCTATAACTCCCCATTTGGCCGTCGTGATACTGTCTTGGGAGGTTTTCTTGCTTCCACAGCTGGATTTTTGTTTGGCTTTGTCACTTCTCCTTCCCTGGGCAGGCTCAGAATCGGGAGGTGTCTCTTGGTGAGGGCCCTATAACTCCCTGCCCCTCGTGGCGCGGGCTCACTAATGGCTGCTTTCTTGGAGCAGGCATGTGAAGGTGACAGAGGTGGTGAGGGACACGGGGGGCCTTCTCCTGCAGGAGCTAAACGTGGGGACAGGAGCGTGGGGTGAAATCATCTTGCCCGTTGGGGTGTGTGTGTGAAGGGACGAGCTCTGACCACCCCGTGGGGGAGCAGAGCTGCAGCCCAGCCCTTGTGCACCCCCCGCTCCTGTTCTGGTTACAAACAGCAGCTCTGGGGCCGCCCCGTTGCTGCTACCAAGGCCTTGCTCCCTGCTGGGCCGTCATTTTTCACCATATGACAGAAGCCTTTTCTTTTCTGCCCTTCTTTTGCTCGGGCAAATAGCGCTGAGTGCAATATTCTATTTAATTTGTGGATTTATGGACCCCCTTATACTCAAAATACACCCTTTGGGGAGGCAAATGTAGCTTTTGCATCCATGTCCCTGCCATGGGCGGTGGCAACAGCATCTCGCTGCCCCTGTCCCTTAAAGGAGTCCTCCCTCTCCCCTTTTTTCCCCCCTTTTTGGGTCCCCTTGGCCGTCTCCCTTACGGCAGGTGCGGGGAGCGAGGTCTGGTTGCTTGGGCAGCATTTGGCGAGGGCAAAGGGCCAGTTGGGAGCGGTGCTCCATTAGCCAGCGCTTGCCTGCTGTGCAAAGGCTTATTGTAAAGCTAAAAAAGCTTTTTTATTTTAGGCTGAGAGGCTTCAAGCACGGTCAGGCAGATGTGGGAGCTCCGCTTATTTCCTTCTGCTCACTGAAATAATATAATTATGGCCAGCAAAGTTCTGTGCTGCCCCAAAGCCGGGCAAACTCCACTGCGTTACTTTGCAGGACGCCAAGGGCAGCACTGTGTAAAACAGAGGTGGTGTGTGACTATTTCCTAAGAAATTTCTATTTAATCTGCTTGCTCGAGTGCTCCAAAGGGAATCTGAGGTGTTTGTGTTCCACGATCCTCGAGAACAAGCTGGTGTTTGTGTTGGTGGGTTTCCAGACCTGCTGGTGCAAGAGACAGCACCCCTCGTGTGTCAGTCCCAGCAGAATTCTCTTGGATGATCTAAATGGCACCGCGCGAGAGACAGCACCCTGCGTGTGTCACTCCCAGCAGAATTCTCTTGGATGATCTAAATCAAATGCTAAGAAACTCTTGTGATGGTAGTTTATTATAGAACTGTATTTCAACTCTTGCTACACTGAGGTGTGCTCCCCCCTTCCCTCTGTTTAGATGTGGTAGGAAATTCAAGGAAAGAAAGACCCGGTTACAAAGAGCTTCTCAGCAGCCGAGCGCGGGTTCTGGCTGTTAATGGTTTCCTCTGAGATGTGCTTGGTGACCTCAGAATGTACCCAAGTCCTGTTGAGGCAGCACCAAATTCAGAGCTAAACCTCAGCCGTCATCCCCAAACGCGGCAGGGCTCCACAAGATTTATGGGGTAAACTTTGGGGAGGAATAAAAAATAATATAGTTCTGGATCAGATTTTTGCTCTTAAACCTGCGTATTTCTTACCTTGTAGATAAAGAAATGCCTTTGTTCCCCTGCTGTTGCCCACCTGGCCCTCATGGTGTTCTTAAATGCTCACAGTGCACTGGGCAGAGCTGTTTTAGCTTTTGGGGTTCAGAGGTGAGTGGGAAAGGAAGGTATCACCCTCCTCTTTCACCTCTTCTTCGTTAGCGTTTGGGAGGGAGGGAATTAAACATTTAACTTCAGAGCTCTGCTTGAATCCACCCAGCTCACCAGCGGCTGTAACCCTCACCCTCTCTTCTGCTGCAGAGAAGCAGCCTAGAATTAGCGTTTTTCTTAGACACTGACTTATTACTTCAAAAAATGTTTGAGCCCGGGGAGGGGAAGCGAATGCTTCTTCCTTCATCCCTGGTTTTAAAGCATAAAATTAGCTGTATATACCAAACCCAATTTAAGATGCTAAAACTGCCATGGCCTTTTGCACAGAAGCGTCTTTAAATAGGATTTTTCTCATTTTTTAGAAGAGCAGAATAAATAACAGCAACTGTGTATTTTAAAATTACGTTGTTAATAAAACCCTGGTACATTTACATAAATGACAACAGTAATGTACAATTAACAAAAGCAGTGTAATATTACAGCAACAAAAAGAGGACCTACATATTTGTACAGATCAGCTGGAGCAGCTACTGGAAAATACTTTCCAAGATAAAGCCTTTTGTGGTATTTTTCAGGCAAAACCAGTGATAATTTTGAAAACACCTGCATGGCTTTCTGAGAATAAATAGGGTTATTGAAGCTGGTGATCTTGGGAAGGGGGTGTGACCCTAAAGCACAGACTGGAGTGTTGGCCTTGGACTAATCACTCGTATCCTCGTGTGCAATTTGTAAATCCTTTAGGAATGAGGCGATGCCAGATTCTGAGGGGTTTGGGGGGAGATGCTGTAGTTCCTTCTTCCCTTCATCTGCCCAAACCACGGTGCTGTGGAGCTTGGGCCCAGCTGGGCCTCCTTCTTCCAGTGGATTTCCATGGAGCAGTAGTTCTCCACCGAGAACTTGGCTTCCTCTTCTCCCTCACCTGCCTATAACGCACGGAAGCACCTTAGCAAGATGCTTTTGGTGGGTCTAACAATATCTGAAGGTCTTTCCTTAAAGCTATGGGTAAGAGCAAGATCAGTGTTTTCACACAACTACCTGCCTTCCTACAGGTGGGATTATTTAAAATAAACAAAAAAAGCCCACTCACAAAATCACTGCTTCAGACTCAAAACTGTAGATTGAACTGTCTCTGTTTAGTTCTAAATCAGGTAGAAGGTGGCCCAGAATGAGTCCTTCTGGATCAGAAACCTCTGTCCGCTGCAAAAAATGTCAATCTTGGGCATTTGAGCACCTTGTTTAAGTGTCCCTACCTGAATGGCAGCCTGCAGCCCACCCCTGGGAACCAGTCTGCTGTGCACTGGGCCCAGTATCTCCTGAGGTAGCATCATTGGTGGGAAGAACACTCCATGGATGAGGCTGTGGAAGCAGAGACTAAAGGTCAGAGCTCCTAATCCCAACCAGCTCCAGAGAGAGAACAAACCCTCAAGCTCTACGTTCCTCGAGGTCTTGGGGAGACTTTTATTGCTATTTATGCTATAGGAGAGTTTTCAGCATCATGCTACCTCCTGTTACACCTGAGTCTTCTAGAAAACATCTTTTATGGTGTCAGGTCTCACAGACAATGTTCAGAAACAGGTTTTTAAGGTGACAGTGACTGGGACTGTCAAACCTTGATGGTGAAAGGGTAGACAGTCATCTTTTCCCTCCTCAAAATGGATCTAGATTAACAACTAGCACAGTGAAACCGTATTAAAAAAATACAAACCTCCAATTCTCCCGGCCTCTCTCCATGTGAGGTTTAAGGAGTGGGCAATTCCAGAGTTAGTATTAGTTTCTACTCAGCTTTGAACATCTACAAAATCTCTCTCTCTCTCTCTCAAGGTGCAAACAGTCTGGGGGGAAACTGACGTCAGGGTCTCTGGACGTGCGCAGACCCTGGTGTTTATGACTCGGGTGAAGCAGTTTGTGTGCACCAGCCTTTGTGTTCAGACAGATGACTCATTCCAGGGGCAGCGATCCATAGGGTTAGAAAACTCCTCCTCTGCAGCCTTTTTTACAAGTGAAACAGGGATGTGTGTGGCCGAGGTGGCCGTTACGGTGTGTGGGCTTGGAAGTTGGACTACGTATGAGGTGTTGGGTCTCGGTGAATCGCCCTGTTTCTCCACAGCCCTGCCTTGTGCTGGTTTGACTGGCAGCATCGATCTTCTCTTGGGTTTGGGTTCTTCACTTGCATCCTTGGTTCCTGTCTGCGCTGTGAGGTGTTGCTGTGAGGGTGTTGTTGCTGTGACAGTAGTAGCCCAGAGAAGCCAGCTCCCCCCTGCCCGCCGTCAGCGGGATGAGGCACAGCATCCTTCCCCAGGGAGGAGGGGGGGTTATCCCTTGTCGGGGACTTTTCAGCAAGATCCAGAAGGCAAAGAGGAGAAGCCACAGCTTTGCCTGACGGCGCGTCCCCCAGTTTGAACCAGTGCTCCTGCCTCACACCCTGGAGGTGACGTACACGGAGTGCAGGCGGGCAGCCAGGGCTGTCTGCAAGTCCCGCAGAGGGTCCAGGCCCTGCACTTTGCTGGTCCTGCTGTAGATGAGCTGTTTGAACGAGTCCTGCTCCAGGAGAGAGCTCATGTGTTTGAGGAAGAAGCCTTCACAGAAAGAGGCGAGTTCGGGCGCGTTGTGAATCTGCGGAAGAGAGGAAGATCAGTGAGCTTTTTTCCTCTGTGTCACAGGGCTAAAGGACATGCCTGAGCTCCTTCTCATTTCTAAAAAAAAACCAAAGCTTTTTCCTTTAATGTTTTCTAAGACAGAAAAAGGAATGTAATAAGAGAGGAAAAAGCAGTGGCAATGGCTAATGATGTCTTTTGGTGCTCTCTGCAGGCACAGGTGTGAGCGGGGAGGTATTGGGGCTGTTTGTCATTCCTTGCCCTGATGGCTGGCTGCTGGCAGAGCCACTGGCCCTGTGCTCCAGTCCCTTTCCCCTTCCCAGAGCAGAGCAGCTGGTGGCCACGGGGGCCACCGTACCTGTTGGGCTGTGCAGGCAGGGGCAGCAAAAACACCCTGTGCTGCCAGATGGCACGCACAGCTCCTGGCAATAGGAGTACACTTCACAGGATGCCAGCCCAACTCCTGGGGCAAAAAAAAAAGGAGCTGGAAAATAGGGATGTTCCACGGGTAAAACACGTGGGGATTTGGGATCTGGTTCCCTTTGCTTGGCAGGACCAGCAGGGGAAGCTCAGTGAAAGGAGAACAGTGAAACTTGGGTTTGGTGCTTGGTCACCCCCTTTCTGGGAACTTTGTGCAAAGAGTAATTTAAGGAAAAGTACTAAAGGGCGGTAGGGAATGCTCCCTCTCTCCTACTGCACTGTTACATTTCAGGTCCTGAAAGAAACCAGCCTCAGTTCCTTGGAAAAAAATGGCCTGGTGTGGGAGTCAGGAACGGAAAAGGATCCCGAGTGTGACATTGCCCACAATGAAAACGTGCGCGTCGTTGTCAGCCCTTTGTGTGGCCTTTCTGCTTGACTTTAAGGGATCCGACCCTGCAAACTTGCAGGAATGGCTGAGTATTTAGCTCTGATTTTATCAATAATGTGGGTTATTTGCTGTAGAGTTGAATATCTCTGTCACACAGCCGGGGTGTGAGGAGAGGGTCAGTTCTGGTCGCTGTTCTGTGACCGATGCCCCCGCTGCTCTGAGGATTTCAGTCTCTCGGGCTGGGAGGACACCTCTCCCCTGCTCCGTGGGGATCTCACATCCATTTCATCCACCATCACTTTAGACAAGAGAACACCCCAGGGCTGGGCAGGACTTTGCAGACTGGAACTTGGACCCAACCCCTCACTTGGGTTTGGGGTGGAGTTACCAGCGGGGCGGGTGCCGCTCCCGGGCTCTATGTCCTGACCAGAAGGAGGGTGCTGAAAGCAGGGGTGCTGTGTCAGTGTCAGTCTTGAATAAGGTTTGGCACATACCTTGGCATATTTATAGATGTGAACAGAGTTCTCCAAGCTGATCGTCTGGGCACAGAGGATTTCACAGTGTCTCTGGAGACCATCCAGCTGGAACAGGCTGGCAGCCGACAACAGCTACGGGGCAAGAGAGAAGCTGTTTGAGATCATGAGCCTTGAAAGGCTTCAGGAAGACAAACACAACTGATGATTTCCTCCCTGAACCATCTCCCGCTCCCTGTTTTAATGGCCAAGTCCTCAGGAAAGAGCAGAAAGTCCACTCACAGAATCACAGAATGCTATGGGGTTGGAAGGGACCTCTGGAGATCATCTCCTCCAACCCCCTGCCAGAGCAGGGCCACCCAGAGCAGGTCCCACAGGAACGTGTCCAGGTGGGGTTTGAATGTCTCCAGAGACGGAGACTCCACCACCTCTCTGGGCAGCCTCTGCCAGGGCTCTGCCACCCTCAAAGTGAAGAAGTTCCTCCTCATGTTTAGATGGAACTTCCTATGGTCAACTCTGTGCCCATTTCCTCTTGACCTGTCCCTGGGCACCACTGCCTCTTGGCACCCACCCTTTCAGTATTTATAGGTGTTGATCAGATCCCCCCTCAGTCTTCTCCAGACTAAGAAGACCCAAGTCCCTCAGTCTCTTCTTGTCAGAGAGATGCTCCAGACCCCTCATCATCTTTGTAGCCCTCTGCTGTCCCCTCTCCAGCAGTTCCCTGTCCTTCTGGACCTGGGGAGCCCAGAACTGGTCCCAGTGCTCCAGATGGGGCCTCCCCAGGGCAGAGGAGGAGGATGACCTCCCTCCACCTGCTGACAACACTCTTGATGCACCCAGGGATGCCATTGGCCTTCTTGGCCACATTTCCCCTCTTAGCAAAGGCTTGCTCCTCCTGCAGGAGGTGTAGTTGTGCCACCTTCTGTCACTGTGCCATACCAGCCCCAGACTGTTCCACCACAAGAGCTTCCCACAGCTGCTTCCTTCTCCCAGGGCAGAGGGGACATGCAGAGGGGACATGCAGAGGGGACATGCAGAGGGGGCTTCCACCCACCTCTGGCTACCAAAAGCCCTGTAGTGATTTCACCACCCCGCCCTATTCCCCCCCCAGCATCTCATGGCCATAACAAAACATAACTGGTCCTTCTTATTTCCCAGCAAGAGTGTTTTGAAGCTTTAAGCTCATTTCAAAGTGTGAAGTATCCTCTCGAGTTTATGGCCTCAAGTTGCCCCAGGGGAGGTTTAGATTGGATATTAGGAAACATTTCTTCACGGAAGGGGTTATCCAGCATTGGAATGGGCTGCCCAGGGAAGTGGTTGAGGCACCATCCCTGGAGGTGTTCAAAAGATGAGTTGACATGGTCCTCAGGAATATGGTTTAGTGATTATTTTTTTTTTTATTGCTTATTTCTTTTTTTTTTTTTTTTTTGCCAACCTCGACGATTCTACGATTCTATGAATTGGAAGCTGCTCTCAGCTCCTGGATTTTCCCTTCAAGCTCTGCCCCAGGGTGCATGGGAAGGCTTAGAAGAAAAGGCTCTCACCTCTAGGATATCAGCGGTGGGAATTTCCATAGATTCGGTTCCTCCGTAGTACAAATACTGCATCAGCATCTGAAATGGGAAGAAGGCCAGGCCTGGAGCTGTTGTCACTGAAGCCCCAAGGGTTTTCCCCTCCTGTTGCAAATCTGCTGCTTTCTAATACTTTTCTTCCTCGGGCTCTGAAAAGGGCCCCGCTGAGGATTTCAGGCGGAGGGTGAGAGGGTGTCTCCAAGCAACACCAACTGTCCCTGTAAGAGGGGACCACCTCGGAGGGGGTTTTGTGAAGCCTGGCAGGCTGTGACACGCAGAGCCACCAGCCCCAAACTGCCACCAGCCCCACGTGTGTCCCAGGGACCTCCCAGCCACTCGCCCCCCCCCGCTGTGCTTCTCATCAGCCTCCAGCCCCCCCGGCAGGGCCAGAGGAAAAGGCCTAATTGTTTGCAGGGAGAGAAGGAGGCAGCTTCTGCTCTTTGATCTGCACGTACCCACCCCCAGCTACACCCCTGCCCTCTCATCCGGGGAAGGAGGAGATTTGGTGATGGGAAGAGAAGTCCTTCCAGCCTCCTGGGTGCTGTGTAAAAGGGTGTGGGGATTGTTCCTGTGCTTACTGCAACTAATAGCTGCTACTATTAAAATTGCCTTATTTGTAGAAGGGAATTAGAGGGGAGCAGAGCTGCTTTCCAGCAGAGCCCTGGGAGAACACACATCTCCAGTGGCTCCACATCCTCCATGCGCCGTAACTTGAGGTCACCATAGAGATGCCATCATCTCCTTAACTCATCTGATTTTATTTACCATCAAATTGTTTTAATTCCGTGAGGTATTTCCACTGTTTTATCTCTTTTCGATTTGTTGCTCTCTCCAATGAAGCAAAAGCTTATTTTTAGAAACTTTTGGATGTAAAAATGTTGTTTAAGGAGACTTGTTCCAATAGACTTTTTCTGTCATGACCTGAGCTGTAAATCTTGGATGTCATCTGTCTGACACAGAACTTGGAGACACACTTTGAAGTAGAACAAAGATGTTCTTATGGTCAACTGTTCTTATGTTCTTATGGTCAACTCCATTCCCTCTGGTCCTTCATCACCGTGAGGTGACGGTACCATTCATAAAAAGGCAAAAAAGGAAAAGCCTCAACCCTGGAGTGAAGCAGTTACTCACCCTGTTCTCCACTTCACATTTCCCTGTTCTGTCCCTTCCAAATTTGAAACGCAGACCTGGGAAGCTGCAGTAAGGGAGCTATCACATTTCACTGACTTGTTTTCCTTTTTCCTTGGGTGTGTGGTAAGTAACCTACTTTCTCTCCATCATGAATGAACCTCCCTTAAGTCCACTAAATATGGAAACGTCATAAAAGCAGAGCGCGATTCTCAATTTGGAGCCTTTCTTGAAAGGGAAACCACTGATTTCTGATCATCTGATTTGAATTACTACGAAGCCTGGCAGCTGACCTCCTCTAAATAAGGTTACTTTTTGCTTAGTGCAGCATGAAAACGGTGCCTTAAAAAGTATGAAAATGGTGCCTTAAAAGTATAAAGCTACTTTCAGTAGAAGATTAGATTGTCCTGCTCTGGGTAGCAGGAAAATAAGAATTTAGGCTGGAGACTTCTGTTTTAAGGTCGGTCCTACCTGAAAAAATCAGAACTGCTGAAAGAGGGGTGTGTTGAAATGAACTCCAGCTCTACTTGTAAATTGCTGTGATACTAAGACTTGGCCCTCTCAGCTTCCACGTGTGGGAAGGCTTCTGGTTTAAGGTCGGTCCTACCTGAAAAGTTTCACCGTAAATCAGAACTGCTGAAATAGGGGTGTGTTGAAATGAACTCCAGCTCTACTTGTAAATTGCTGTGATACTAAGCCTTGGCCCTCTCAGCTCCCACGTGTGGGAAGAGAATAAGGAAAAGGCAGAGTAAGTTACATACCTTGAAAATATTGTACTTCATGTCGCTGATTTCCACCGTCTTGCTGCCGTGGCCGTCGTGCTCCGTTTTATTCGTCATCAGCGTCTTAAACCTGAGAATGGGTTTAACAGATTTCTGTATTAGAGCCTCACCTCCTCATTTACCTGCTGACAAACAGCCGGAGCAAGGGGAAGGGGAAGAGCCTCCCTTGCTCTTCACAAGTTGAAAATGGAAAAACATTTGTTTCCGTGTAATGACAATTAGTTGGAGAACTTCAGGGACAACTTAACCTGTAAATTGCTTGATTGATTGATCCGATCCTGCACAATAATAGCTGCAAAAACCTGTTACTTTGCCAATAACAGAGAAAGAAAGGAGTAACTGCAAGTGTACCAGGTCAGGGGGAAGATTTCCAGGAGCTCTGGAGCAATTGTAGCTCCAATGAGCAAACTGAGATGGGGACTGGAAAGGCAGTGATTGGCTGGAGATGTACATTCCAACTGCTGCACAGCTCTCTAGGGATAATTACTGGTTAATTTATGTCACTAGAGCTCTGGGAATCTCTAACATGTACCAGCAGTGGGTAGAAAAACTCATCTTTGCTCTTCTACTGTTCTTAACAGTAGCAAAGGTGCCGTGGCTTGGTCCTGCTGACCTGTGTTATGGTCTGTAGAAGGTGTCCTGACTGATGGGTGCCCAGGAGCTCGTCACAGGAACAGGAGAATGAGGGGCCAAAGCCTCCCTGAACAGTCTGTGCTTCGCCTGGGAAGGGACTCACCTGTTTGATGCTGTCACCAGCAGGACTTTGTGCGCGTAGAACAGCTTCCCTTCCACTAAGAAAGTCACATCAGACATCTCTTTGTTGTTGAGAAAGTGAGGATCTGTTAGGGTAAGGAAATGAAGAGAAAAAACCCAAAAAACAAGTGAATAATTTTTGAAACTGTGGATGCTTTTAAAAAAAAAAAATAACTAAATCACAAGAGCTTGACTGTTGAGTGAACATCTTACCCAGGCGCGCTGGCAGCGTCTTTCGGATCTCGGGGATGCTGGGGATGGGGCTGCTGCCGTAGCAGTGGGTGAAGATGGCTGCAAGCTGCTGGTTGATGGAGTCGTTCTGTGGGGAGGACCCAAGAGGTATCAGCACTGTGGGCACTTTGCAGGGTTTCAAACACACCCTAACAGTTCCCTTGGGACTCACAGCGACTGCGCTCTACAAAAATGACCCCCAAAGAGAGGGACCAGAGCACGGTCTGAGCAAACAGGCTCTGAGTCCTCTCAGCAATGGTTTGTGAGCAAAAGCTCACACATAACAGGGAGCCCCATCAGCCTCTTCTCAGCAGGATTTGATTCATGGTATTAGCTCGTTGTCAGATACCAAGTTCCAGCTCCCAGTCTGCAATTGGTTTTATTTAGCCAGCTACAGCCTTGCTTTTAATTTAAAGGCCGTTTATAATGAGTGGTGAAGGCAACAGCCTCTTGAAGAGAGCACGGGAGAGACTGGGTGAGCTTATCTGCAAAATGAGACAGCCAAACTACACACCATGGATCAGATCTCTTCTAGACATGCCTTGAAAAGCAAGGAAAAAACAACATAGGCAACCTTTAAATTAAAAAAGTAGAAGGAAAACATTGCTGAACAAAAGCATTGGTCAGAGAACTCCCAGAAGATCATAGAATGGTTTGGGTTGGAAGGGACCTCAAAGATCATCGAGTTCCAACCCCCCTGTCCTGGGCAGGGACACCTCCCACCAGCCCAGGTTGCTCCAAGCCCCATCCAACCTGGCCTTGAACCCCTCCAGGGATGGGGCAGCCACAGCTTCTCTGGGCAACCTGTTCCAGTGCCTCACCACTGAGAGACACTGATGCTACTGAGACAACCAGAAGTCCCTGGTACTGTGTTGATAACTCCTCCTCTTACAATCTGGCTTCAAAAGCCAGTTGCTGAACTGGATTTTTAACAGAATAGATCTCACTTCTATAGAAATTAATGTCTTTACTGGGAGGCCTGCTCTGGTGGGCTGTGTAGCCTTTATCTACAGTGTATCAGGGCCATTTTCCTACCCTAGTGACTCACTGGGGACTTAGTGCAGGCACTCGCTCTTGTGCACTGCCTTGTCCAACAGCAAACCCCAAACACCCGATTTTCATACCGTTACAGAACTAATAATTACCTTGCTGGTTTTGAGGATGTCGAACATGAGTTGCAGCCCTTCGCTAACCAGTTCTTCGTTATAGTCCTCTTCTTTAATGGTGACGAATTCCCGTAAGAGGGTCTGCACGACGGAGTAGCGTGACTGGTAGAAGGTTGTCCTCAGTGACTCGATCCACACGTGGAGTTTCCAGGGGACTCCTGTGGCCACAGCAAAAGGGACAGTGAGAGATGAGGATTTGCTGAAGGACCTGTAGATCTTTATATACATCCTAACATATATTGATAGATCTTTAGATACATCCTAACAGCAGGTAGAGTTTTGTCTTTATATTAAAGGTGATTGAACTGCGTCATCGACAGGTTGATTTATCTACAACAGCAGAGGATTGGTACCAGGACCATAAGTTGGAGACTCCCTATATATATATATAAATGCTCCCTGCGTATTTAGCTTCATGATTAGAAGACTAATCATGAATAAGGGGCTAAATTTGCAGCAAACTTGTTAAGAATACCTAGTCCCACACAGAGATGGTGTGAGGTGTCTTCTCCTGGTTACCTGCAACAGTCTACATACACAACCTTCAGAGCTTCTCTTTCCTACCTGTAGATCAAATCCGTTCTTTCATCTTAAACCATTTAACCCCTGTCATTACCTTTGTTTTTGAGACCAAGCCTCTTTAACTCTGAATTTTAGGTGTCAGAGTATCTGACAAGAGACGTGATTTTGATACTTGGGCACAGAGGACCCAGACAAAAGTAAGGGACATTGTAGATCAGTGGCAATTTGGAAAAATTTGTGAGGAGCCTTAAAAACTTTTTTAATTAACTTGGCCAGCCAGTGTCCATAAGCTTGGGACAGCTTTGCAGTTCGGGTTACAAGTGAAAGGGGGAGAGAAAAATCCTTTTCAAGCCTTAAATGTGCTGAAACTAAAGCAAAGGCCTCACCGAGTGCCCGGAGCTCCATGGTGATGTCCACGTAGCCGTGCTCGGCGCTGTAGTACATGGCCTCCTGCAGAGCCTTCATCCTGGTTTTGCAGAGCCTGACCTGCCCCTCGCTGGAGCTGCCCTGGCTGGAGGTGTCACTCTCCACCCCCTCAGCTAAGATCTCCTCCAGGGAGAGGACATCTCCCTTCAGCTGCTGGGGCTGGGTCAGGAGCTTGCGCAGAACGTTCCTGACGAGGTAAGAAGAGAGAAATCCCTTATTAATAAATGAAATCTCAACAGTTCAGACAGGACTGTGGTGATTTGGGCTTAGGGGTCTGGCTGAGTCAATAAGAGCTGGCAGATACAGAGCAGTGTCTCACAGAATGGTTTGGGTTGGAAGATCATGTAGATGATCATGTAGATCATTTAAACCACTTCTTCCCTATCCCAAGTGCTAGAAATAGATGCCCTGGCAGCAAAGGCAAAAACATGGAATATGCTCCTCTACCATAGTGGTACCAGGGTGTATTCCAGAGCATTAGTGCAAGCTGGGGTTTATTGCAGTCTACACTTGGACATAGAAACGTGCTTCCTTCTGCCAGCCCCGAGTGTGGTAACATCTTAAGCTCTGAAGTAAGATTTAGCCCCTGTCTGTTAGAGCTCTTGCTGTTTTCCCAATTCTTCAGGCTTTGTTACGTTGTTTCAGTCAGACCCGCTTCCTGCAGCAGTAAATAGAAACCATAAAAAATGAGAATTCTGCATCGCTAAACCCAGGGAGAATCTTTTTGGGTTGGAATTTCACACAGCAGTTGCAAGAAAAGAGACTTTTCTTGTTTGTGTCCAGCCACTTTGGGAAGTTTGCATCATCAATGTCCCCACAGACAGCTGGGGACATCTGCAGCAGAGGTTCCCCAGCCCACCAAAGTCCACCCCAGCTCTCAGCTCTGACGCTGAATTGCCACTAGCTGGTGCTCTCTTTGCACCCACACAACTTGAGAGCGCTGAAACCAGTTAATTTTGTGCTTTTGGGATCACCCTGCCCTGTCCGACTGGAGAACCAGCCTTGAATTTCCCAGTTTGCCTGGTGAGATGTGGCAGAAGGTGGTGGGAGGGGAGCAGAGCTGGGAACAGAGCAGCCTCTGTGCGGTTTTACCCGGTAAATAACTGCATTGGGCCCTTCCAGCTGTGCAGAGTTGGGCCTCAGTTGAGCGGGGGCTGTTTTCCTGGCTGTATCCAGATGTGCAATGTACCTGAGCTCTCAAGCCCAGCTGTGTTCAGGCAAGGTAGCTGCTATTCACGGGCCAGCTGCAGGCCCCTCTGGCTACCTCACTGCTCAGCCACATGGGCCGTTCCGGGGCTGTTTTAATTGGCTTGTTACACTAACATTTTTTCTGGGAACAGAAGGATTTCTGGACGAGTTTGTAAAGTAACGCCTTATTTCTAAACAACAACCCTGAAATCAGGGTTGGAAAGCCCAGTCTGACTTTAATGACCAATCTCTTGATCCAAAAACCAGAGATGGATCAACCAAATTCTGCCACAGGTTATTTTTGCCACCTTAATGTGATTAGGTTCTGTCTCAGGACATGAACCACTCTCATAACCCCACTGAGCTTGGTCTGCTCACGTATGACCTAGAACTGGCTCCTGCTCACTTGGTGCTGCAGAACTAGACCAACAAGTGAGAGAATAAGCAAAAAAGCACATCTACCAGTTTAAAGAATCTTTCAGCTCCCCAAAAGGCAAATACCTACATCTGAATCAGAACAGCCTGAGAAACTGCCCCGCACTAGCAATGGCTGCTCTCTGGAGAGTCTGAACATCTTCCAACTGCAGCCCCAGGGCTTCGGGTATAAGACATGGAATATGAAGTCAGGGGGGAATTCCTATGGTGGGAGCCTTAGGTAAAAAAAACCACCCCTGTTTGGAACACAAAGGGAGCTTTACCTGTGCCCGTGTGCAGCCGAGTGACTGAAGCAGTTCATGTCTTCATGAAGTGACGAGGACATCCCGTTGACTTCCAGCATGCTCAGGAGTGGGTCAGCACCTCTACTGAGCAATAAGCTCACCAGTTCGTAGTTCCCTGTGGTAAAATGGACAGAAATGTATCAATTATTCATAGAATCATAGAATGGTTCGGGTTGGAAGGGACCTTCAAGATCATCCAGTCCCACCCCCCTGCCCTGGGCAGGGACACCTCCCACCAGAGCAGGTTACTCAAAGCCCCATCCAGCCTGGCCTTGAACACCTCCAGGGATGGGGCAGCCACAGCTTCTCTGGGCAACCTGGGCCAGTGTCTCACCACCCTCATAGGAAAGAATTTCCTTCTAATATTTAATCTAAATCTCCCCTCTTTCCATTTAAAACCATTACCCCGCGTCCTATCGTTACACTCCCTGACAAAGAGTCCCTCCTCATCTCTCCTGTAGCCCCTTCAGACACTGGAAGGCTGCTGTAAGGTCTCCCTGGAGCCTTCTCCAGGCTGAAAGTCCACGTCTATTACCTCTCTGAAGCAAATAACACGGCTCTGCAAAGGGACACTGTACCAGCAATGGTTATGCTCCCAGCTAAGGCTTTTGGAGCATCCTGCAAGCACATGTCAGGCTTCATAACAACTCGGAGAGAAAAACTGAGTCACAAAGCACTTAAATTGCCTAATAATGCCCAGCCAGCTAGAACAAAAAGAGAATTAAGCTCAATGCACACCAGCGGAGATGCACACAACCAGTTTAAGTAGACTGGTGTATCATGCAGCCCCAGTTCAGGCAGGCCCCCCTCCCACCATTCACATGAGATGTGGTACAGAGGGGTGGCAGGAGACTGGGAGGGGAAGGGACCACTTCTTTATCCCTTCAATAAAGCTTGGTGCAGGGCAGAGAAGAAACTCGTCTTCATAAACACGCAAAAACGAAGCAGAAAGAAATGAAGGAAAAAAAAAAAGTAAAACCAGTTAGAGATGAAAAGTGTTGAAAACCAGCAGGTACTTTTAGGCCAGCACAGGCTTGTTCGCGGGACGCTAAACTCTTCTCCTGACAGTTAAGCAGAAGAAATGCAGAATTTTACTTGCATTTAATAAATTAATGAAACAAATTTCTTTATATAACAGTTATTTTTCCCCAGGCTGAATGTAAGCTTGTTAATTTTTGCATCTGAAAGTCATTTAGATCCAAGACATGCCCAGACCGCAGGGCAAGGAAGAAACTCATCTTCATAAACACGCAAAAATGAAGCAGAAAGAAATGAAGGAAAAAAAAGTAAAACCAGTTAGAGATGAAAAGTGTTGAAAACCAGCAGGTACTTTTAGGCCAGCACAGGCTTGTTCGCGGGACGCTAAACTCTTCTCCTGACAGTTAAGCAGAAGAAATGCAGAATTTTACTTGCATTTAATAAATTAATGAAACAAATTTCTTTATATAACAGTTATTTTTCCCCAGGCTGAATGTAAGCTTGTTAATTTTTGCATCTGAAAGTCATTTAGATCCAAGACATGCCCAGGCTAGACAGTAGCTGGTGTATGGTTCTCCACAGTGCCCTGTGTGAAGGAGCTGCCTCAGTGGGGTTTACTCTGGAGGCCGGGGCAGGAGGGGGGCACTGGGACACGTTGGAGGAGCAGAGACTCCTTCAGTGCCCATCAGGCTCTTGCCATGTGATGAGAGCTGGTAGTTGTTGCCAACCCAGACAGGGTTCCTACCAGTGTTTTAGAACCACAGAACCATAGACCAGTTTGGGTTGGAAGGGACCTTAAAGGTCATCCTGTTCCAACCCCCTGCCCTGGGCAGGGACACCTCCCACCAGACCAAGGTTGCTCCAAGCCCCCTCCAGCCTGGCCTTGAACCCCTCCAGGGATGGGGCAGCCACAGCTTCTCTGGGCAACCTGTTCCAGTGTCTCACCACCCTCACAGCAAAGAATTTCTTCCTGAGTTCTCATCTAAATCTCCCCTCTTTCAGTTTGAAGCCATCACCCCTTGTCCTATCACTACATGCCCTTTTAAAAAGTCCCTCTCCAGCTTTCTTCTAGCCACCCTTCAGATACTGGAAACAGCTTTAAGGTCTCCCCAGACACCTTAAAGGGGACCCTTCCCCCTCCTCCTAGAGCTCCCCTCCTTGATCCAGAGTCCCTCCCCAGCTCTCCTGGAGCCCCTTGAGGGACTGGAAGGGGCTGGAAGGTCTCCCTGGAGCCTTCTCTTCTCCAGGCTGAACCCCCCCAACTCTCTCAGCCCCCCCTCCCAGCAGAGGGGCTCCAGCCCTCCCAGCATCTCCGAGGCCTCCTCTGGCCCCACTCCAACAGCTCCATGTCCTTCTGCTGTTGGTGGCCCCAGAGCTGGAGGCAGCACTGGGGGGGTGGGGTCTGCCCAGAGCAGAGGGGCAGAATGCCCCACCTTGCCCTGCTGCCCACGCTGCTGGCGATGCAGGCCAGGATGCTGGTGGCTTTCTGGGCTACCAGCACACATTGCCAGCTTGGACCTACACAGTAGACCCCAGACCCAGGTGTGAATTGGTTGTGGTTGTTGTGTGGCAGCAGGAGATGGAGGGTGGGGAGGCTGCCCCGAGCTCACCTGCGGCTGAGGCCAGCTGGAGCGGCGTCTCGGCGTAGTTGTCCTCTCCGCTGTTCACGGCAGAGCCCTCCACGTGGGCACCGGCGTCCAAGAGCAGCTGCAAACCCACCACATGAAAGACAAGGAGTTGAGAAAAGAGCAATTCAGAAGGAGCAAACAGAAGGGGCTGTGTGTTAGGAAGGAAGAGCGGTGGAATGGAGAGTGCACACACACAAAGGCACCATCTCAAAGGCTAAAGCCAAGTATCTATTACAAGGCAAATTTCTCATGCGTTTCCTCACTCAGCCTAGGGCTAAAGGCTCCATGTGAACATCAATTTAGAGTTTTCTTATTTTCTTTTGCTTTAGTGTGCTTTCAGTAGCGAGTTTGTCCTGGAAAGGTGCTCAGCTGGCATCTTGGAGAACACCTACTTTTTTTTTCCTCCTCTTTTTAAAATTCTCCTTTACGAACGTGGTTTTGCAATTGTAATTTCCCAGCTCCAAAGAGCTCTGCCATCAGAGCTTCTCTCCAGCACAGGAAGTCCATCTCATTTAGTTTCAGTCCATCTCATTTAGTTTCACGCTGTGTGCAGGAAACAGGGTTCCTCCAGGGAATTAGCCCTGGAGGCCAAACGCGCCTCTTGGTCTCTGGGTTGCCACACACACAACCTGCTTTCACCCAACACCCCCAGCAAAGGGAAATGACCCCCCTCCCAGATGAAGGGGAGAAGGTTACGAGATGATGGGGACCTTTCATGGTGGGGTAGGGCTGGGGGGCAGCGTCGGGGCACCCATGGAGTGAGGACCATCACCTCCGACGGGCACAGGAGTCCAGCTGGCTCTGCCCTGTAACACTCTCCCAATTTGAGGCTTTCAGCCATCCCCAATTAGTACTGGTCCTGGCATAAAGAGCATAAACATTCCCATTTTTATTATAAAACTTCTTGCAGAGCACAACTGGGTCGTGGGCTGGTTTGTTTCTCCCTTCAGATGCCAGCTCTTCCACACAAGCTTTGCGGGGTGGGGCTTAACTGGAAAGGTGATTTTATACACCAATTTCAGCAACGGCTGACATCTACTCTTTTAAAAACAGTTGCCAAATGAAAAAAAAAAAAAAAGTGTAATCTTCAGAAGTTTAAACCAAAATAAAAGAAACGAACTTTAGAGCCATGGTTTAGTGATGGTTGTTATCAGAGTTGGGTTCAAAACTAACTTTAAGAGCCATGGTTTAGTGATGGGTTTCATCAGAGTTGGGTTGATGGTTGGACTCAATGATCTGAAAGGTCCCTTCCAACCCAGACAATTCTTTGATTCTAACCCTGTGGGTAACACGGTCCAACAGGAGCTTTGATAGACTTGGCCTCTAACCCTGTGGGTAACATGGTCCAACAGGAGCTTTGATAGACTTGGCCTCATTCTCCTGGGAGAACTGGGCTCTTATCTCCCATGTAAATTAGGGCCTGTCCAACCTTTGCAATACCGGAGGCTGCCCTGGCAGTTTGCCAGCTGGAATCTAATCTTTGTAATTATTTACAATTGTACACAAATAAAAAAAAAAAATGAATGTGTGCAGCCTCCATTTGCTTACAGCTTTTTTTTTTTATTTCCTCCTTCGAGCAGAAGGGTAATTAAATTCCCCAGGAATTGACTATCTGCTGTGATCAGTTTTGAATTCCTCTTGAAGTTGAATTTCCAGGATTCTACCCCAATTCTGTGTTAACTTCCCCCGAAAAAAGGGAGCAGGGAGGATGTGAGAGGCTCAACTCCCACGACAGCTTAAGTCTCGTTCATGCAATTCTCAAGGATTATAAAAGGAAGTTACAGCTGATTTGCTGCCATTAGAGCAGAAATCAGCATACGCTTCATTTTTGCACATGTAAATGTAGAAACCAATTAACATCTCATGTCAGAGAGCGTCCTGGTCCAGCAGTTTGCCTGTAACCACTCCACATGAAGCCCTGGTTTCTCTACAATGCCAGGGCAGCGATGGTGCAGCATCGTTTGGGATGTGGTAAACCATGGGCCAAGACTGAAACCAAAGAAAAATATGGAAATGTGTGTTTTGTTATCAAGGCCTTGCTGGGAATTATGTCATCTAAAAAAGCATCGGCTGCCTTCTCATTTTCAGGACATGACTGTTTCCCCTGGTTTTTAGAAGGCTTCCACCAAATGGCACCTGGAGGCTGTGAGGGTCTCGTGCTCGGGAGGGCTGAGAGTGAGGGGGGGCTGCTCTCTGCCCCCCCTGTGTCTCCTGTAAAGGTTCCCAAAATGGGAGTCTCCTCCACTCACCTGAACGACAGAGATGTGCCCGTGTAGGACAGCAAAGGTGAGGGCGGTCCAGTGGCGGCTGTCGGGGTGGACGGAAGGGTATCGTGGAGACGTGCTGGGGACCTGGGGGAAAGGAACCAGGTAGTCATTAACCCACCACTGCCGTGTCCCTCTGCCATCATCTTCAGGCATCTTGTACAGAACGGGCTTTTTTCTTTGGAAGTGACAACCCCAGGGAACAGGAACTGAGGCCATTTAGAGAGCGCCGCCAGCTCCAGTCACTCTGTCCAGTCCCCTGGGCCTTTTTAATGGGCTTATTGGTTTCTCCAAGTGGCAGCTCCTTCAGGATGGAGGCCCCCTTACCCCCACCGTGCCAATTAGACTTGCCAATGCCAATCATAATTGGAGCCACTGAGTGCTCCAAGAGGTTTTGAAGGTTTTCTTCCCCCTCCCAAATCCCTGAAGCAATGATTTCTGAAAGAAGTGCCTTGCTCAGAAGCTTCCAGAAATGAAGCCTTCAGTTGCTCGGAGAGATTTCATGACTGCTCTTGTTAGTTTACAGATGAATAATTACAGGGAGAGGGAGCTCTGTTACTCACTGGTATATCTAAATTTGCTCCAGCATCTATAAGCATTTGGACCATGGCTTCATCTCCAGCAGCGCAGGCGTACATTAGTGGGGTCATACCCTGCAGGAAAAAGGGGAAAAAAATAAAAATAAAGTTATCTTTTTATACCTGTCAACAGTGAAATAGCGTCAGGGACATGGTGAGTTGGAATCTTAAGGTAGAGAAGAGTATGTGTGTGCGTGTGCAGGGACAGCACATACATATATATTCAAAACATTTGGTTTCTCTGCAGAGGGGACACAATGCACCAGTAATGTGCAGGTGTGCAGGGACAGCATATACATATATATTCAAAACATTTGGTTTCTCTGCAGAGGGGACACAATGCACCAGTATCAGAAAAGTGACACAGACAAACCATCAGGGGACAAAACTGGAAGAGCACAGAAGGGATCACTGAAACCCCAGCTGCGTATTGTCCACAATTCTTGAGCTTTCTCAAGGCTGCCAAAAAAGAAATACCATTTCTTGGATCATTTGTAGCCAGATGAACCGAAAGTGGAAAACAACACACAAAAATACACAAGATGAATTTATTTGGCAACTTACCCCCATCGCTAAAATCCTATTTGCCACAATATTTCAGCGTTTCAATCCCATCAATCTCTCCCTCTCTACTTAACCAGCAAACCGTGACGGCTCAGAGATGAATTATGAGAGAAATGAGCCTCACTTAAACGGAGCTCATTCCAGACGTAGCCAAGGACAGAAAGGAAATGTCCTAGTAAAATCCATCCCTGCTCACATCCTACTGCTCCCCCCTCTAATTATTGTGAGTGTTTGAATTTTCCCTGGCAGCACCTCTGCTGCTCACCGGGCGATAACACGGCTCCAGCTTCAGAGATGGATTTGTGTCATAAACCAGAATTGCGTCTCTCACCGAGGAGTGCTGCCCTCCAATCTGCAAAGGCATCTTTTCCAAACAGCCACAATTCCAATCTTCCTGCCTTTGAGGCGGTGACATTCGCAACGAGGTTTCAGGGGCCGGGGAAGGGGGGGGGGAACTGGGTGGGTTTGGCTTTTAGGGAGCTTGGGAGGATCAACTAATTAAAGACAAATAACTGAGAACTCAAAACTGGGGTCTGCAGGCTCAAGCCTGTATTTACTGCTACAGTCAGGGTTCTAAAACTACCAGGTTTGTACAGCATTACCCTCCTTTATTTTTTTCTTTAATTTATTTTGTTTTTTAATGCCAGTTTGGCATTCCCTGCTTACTCATCAGTGTGTATATTCCAGCTCTGGCAGAGTCACTGCTGGAGTCTGGGTGTAACTTTGGCTGTGACGTGGGGAGCGTGGCAGAGGACACTCGCTCAGCTGCAGAGACGAGTTGCTCCAGAACCCCTAAAGTGGAGAAATCCAGAGCAGCAACGGCTCCAGAGGGAGCCCATCTCACCCTCCTCTGCCAAAACACCACTGGGAGATGTGGGAGCAGCTTTCTGCAAAGACAACAGACCTGCCAGCACGCCGTGCTCCCCCTGTTCACAGCAGGACTGGCTGGAGGGTGACATCGACAGGATGACAATGAGACCATCAATAAGTGACAGCAGAAACTCCTCAAACTTTCCAACAAGTCGCCTACAGAACACAAGGTAAAAAAAAAGCCAAGCAGCTCCCAGTTTACTGGCTGGCTGGAGAGAGCTAAAAACCATCCCATAGTGACAAGTGATGACAGTCTTGGCACCAGCCTCTTTGGTGTTAGGACAGTAAAGTTCAGGATGCAAAATAATCTGCTTTGAGAGAACAAAAAGCCTCAGGGCTACATAACCAAGACCTGCAAAAAACTTATATAAAAATAAAATAAATACAGGAAGTAAGCGGCAGACCTTGGCTATATAAATCTGCCACCTTTGTCACTTGAATAAAGTCAATATCAAGGGGACCTGTGATGTGACACCCCACCTCTGCAACCACAAAGCTCCTTTATTGGGTATGTAAATAAGGCAGCCACATACCTAGATATAAGTTTGTGCAGGAGCAGTTTCTGCTCACTATGTAGGTACACACTCACATATCCTTTAAAATCATGGGATGGTGGAAAGTACCACGTTTCAGGCTCTGGTTTGAAATGGTACCTACGAGAAAACCTCCCTACTGGAACGTGAATCCTTCCTCCTGATAAATATCCTATTGTTTCCCAGACACCACAGCTCACTCTTATTGCTGTGACAGCTATAATGAGTGTTTATTTGGAGGAGTTTTGTTGGTGTTGGTTTTTTTTTTTTAATTAAAAGCTAATTCAGCGCATTGAATGATGCCCCAGAGAAGAGAGTGCTGTTACTTGATGGGACTGACAGCACAAGCAGAAGCAGCTGAAGACTGCCCAGACTAACGAATCCCTACGGCTCAGCGTAGCTGAGCAGGGAACAGGTAAAAATGAAAAAATACAGAGCGTGATGGACTTTCAACAATGCTAATACCGACAGATTTTGATGCCACTGGGGCTCTCGGGGCTGTTTCTTACACGCCAGACTGTGCTGAGAAGATGTAACTCACTTCACGCCTGGAAGCCACCAGACAGTAACACCTTTTGGTCACTCCTCACTGACCCAGGCTGCATTTGGGCTGTTGAACCAGAAGAGAGTGTCGCTGGCAAAAACCCACCTTGTTTTGACATTGTCTTAGCATTAAGCCAACATGGGGCTTTCCCTGGATTAACCTCTCTTCCATCAGTGCTTGAGAGCGGCCATCCAAGGAACAGACCTACATTCCAGCTGATAAAGAAACAATTCACTCCAGGCTTTGACTTAGAGGTGTATTTTTTTGGTTTTTTTAAGGGATACATTTTCAGACTAAAACACAAGCTAGAATTAGAAAAGCCTTGGAGAGGCAAGTAACACTTAACAACCTCGTCTATTGATTTGCCACATAGAATCACAGAATGGTTAGGGTTGGAAGGGACCTCAAAGATCATCGAGTTCCAACCCCCTGGCCCTGGGCAGGGACACCTCCCACTAGAGCAGGTTGCTCAAGGCCACATCCAGCCTGGCCTTGAACCCCTCCAGGGATGGGACATCCACAACTTCCCTGGGCAACCTGTTCCAGTGTCTCACCACCGTCATAATAAAAAATTTCTTCCTGATACCTAATCTGAATCTTTTTTCTTCCAATTTAAAACCGTTTCCCCTTGTCCTATCACTACACTTCCTGTCAAAGATTCCTTCTCCAGCTCTTCTATAGGCACCCTTCAGGTATTGAAAGGCCACTATAAGGTCTCCCCGGAGCCTTCTCTTCTCCAGGCTGAACAATCCCAGCTTCCTCAGCCTGTCCTCATAGGAGAGGAAAGGAAAGGAAGGTGCAATTTGTTCATGCAAAGAGATTTTGTGTGTGTGGTCCCAGCGTTACCTGATCGTCCATGGTGTTAACCCCCTCAGGGCCCAGTGCATCGATCGCTTGGTTGATCAGATCTGTCCTTCCACAGTTGAGCATTCGGAAACCCAGATCCTGCTGGAATTTTTCAGTAGCAGCCTTAGCATCCAGTCTCCGGAAGGAACTGAAGCAGCATTCAGGTCTGCAAAGAAGAAAATAATTTCTGGATAAAATAATCCGGGTATTTTTCTGTTGTTTTTTCTTTAGGCCTATCTCCTAGGACATCAGGCTCATTAATTTTCATGATTTTACCTATCGTATACCTTCCCCACTGCTCAATCACGTCTGAAAAATTTGGCCAACCTCACGTGTACTAGAGATAGAAGTTTTAGTTCTTAGAGAAAGACAGTAAGTTCATGGAAATACTGCAAAAAAAATTGTAAAAAAAGGTTTCCAAGTAAATAAACCTCATCAGTGCCCTTCTCCGAGGGAAAGGCAGGAAGAAATCCTTATTGCTGCTCAGGAGTGGTAGTTTCCACCTGGCGCCTTATTCCCTGAGTAGCCCTGGACCAGGGACCACTCCTGCTACATCTTACCCACCAAAAGGGAAGGGATGCTGGGATAACTGGGATCACTGCACCACCGAGGTTATTGTGGTGGGATGGGGGTCACAGGCTGCAAACCTGCAGCCACCAGGTCTCCTCGCACAAAAAACCCCACCAAAAGCCAGTTACTTTAAATAATGAGCTGTATGTATTTTGGGTATCATATTTATATTTTCCTGCTTGTTCTGGGGTAGTCCATCAAACATACAGAAAAGCATATTGCACGGAGGAGAAAGAGGTGGAAAATATATCTAATAAAATACCAGTGTAGTTCTAGGTTGAAATAATAATGCTGTCTGTCTACCAGAATAGCTATTATTTTGAAATAAAAGGCATTTCTGAAAGAAGATAATGATCCTTATTCTTTTCTAAAAAAAAAAATAAATAAGAAGTAATAAATAATATGACATCAAAATCAAATTTAGGTAGTGCAACATTCTCAACTCTTTTCCAACGCCTCAATAAAAGTAAGTGTCTTAACGTATCTGTGAGGCTCTGGGAAATCCTTATCCTGTAGATGACTATCAAACGACCTTTATCTCATCTGGAAGGAGCCCAGGGATTACTGAAAATCCTCTGGTTATCTGCTCTGAGACTTCTGAATTCCAGACCTGAAAGTGTATCTCCTTCACTGAAGAAACACTGCCAAACTGGAGGAGTTTCCTATCAGAGCCGGGCCCCGATACGGTCAGCCCTTTGATGTTATTTTGGGGTGAACTCCTCCTCTGCTGCTCGTCTGGTTTCCAGCACAGGCTCTTGTGCAAACCCTCAGTGAGCAAGATACCAGCCTGCCAAGTTCCTTTGAAAAAGGAGATTATTTCAACAAGCTTAACCCCTTCTGGAAACTGTTGGATCCGTGTCCCACTCATCACTTCACACAGAAGATTCCAGATGAACCTTATTCACGTTTTAATTCAGCTGGTCATTTTTTAATGCCCCTGAACTTGCATCGATGGTGGGTGACTAATGGTGAGCAGATGCTATGACCAACGTGTTGAGTTAACAAAGATTGTCCCCCTGGGCCTGGTGACCAGTCACATTGTACTGAGGAAACCAGCATCTCACCACAGCTGCTTTCAGAAAGGAACTGTGACTGGGGAAGTCAGCAGGGAAGCAAACTGATGGTCTTGGAGTCCTGAGCTCTTTGGAGACACATCTGCAAATGACATGTGTCTCCCAGGCAGCCGGGTACAAATATTTGATCAGAAGACAAGATCTCTGAAGCACCCTGATACTAGAGGAGAACACCCACGGCACGGAGAGGATGTGAGGTAACAGGCTTAATGCTACACATAGACATGAATCCTAGAGCTAGGCTAGCCAATTAATAATCTTCTTCTATTGTGGTAATTAATACAGTATAATGATGCTGTCCAACAGGGCCCCGGAGATGCTGGGAGGGCTGGAGTACAGTATCATGATGCTGTCCAACAGGGCCACAGAGATGCTGGGAGGGCTGGAGCCCCTCTGCTGGGAGGACAGGCTGAGAGAGTTGGGGGTGTTCAGCCTGGAGAAGAGAAGGCTCCAGGGAGACCTTAGAGCCCCTTCCAGTCCCTCAAGGGGCTCCAGGAAAGCTGGGGAGGGACTTTGGATCAGGGAGGGGAGATATAGGAGGAGGGGGAAGGGTTTTACATCAAAAGAGGGGAGATGGAGCTGAGATCTGGGGAAGAACTTCTTTGCTGTCAAGATGGCGAGAGCCTGGCCCAGGTTGCCCAGAGAAGCTGTGGCTGCCCCATCCCTGGAGGGGTTCAAGGCCAGGTTGGAGGGGGCTTGGAGCAACCTGGTCTGGTGGGAGGTGTCCCTGCCCAGGGCAGGGGGTGGGATAAGATGATCTTAAAAGTCCCTTCCAATCCAAACCAGTCAATGTTCTATGATTCTGCAATCCAGCATTTCCCCACTTATATTCCCACTTAACCAGTAACAGGTGAGTACTGAAGATGCTTATAAATTGTCTGGCAAATATGAACTGTGAGCATCCTGTTAGAAAGGCTTCATCCACTAAGACACACACAGCTGTTGTGGAAGACTGGACTGCCCAAGCAGTCAATGGCCTAGAAAAGATATTAGAGGTCTGAATTTCAGGTTGTACTAATTATATGTTCTTCTTCTGCACAACTTCTCTTTCAGGGATTTCAACATACCCAACCTGATGCATCACTGCTGCAAGGAGCTATGATTATGTGACTTTTAGCCTGTGCATCCTAAAGAACAGCCAGTTGCAATTTGCCTACAGTCACAGAGACAGCCAGGGGGGAATTCAGCTTCAGTTCCAAGATCTCCTTTTCCTCTAAACAGACTGTAATGGCCAGATACAAACGACAGCTTTAAAGGATGATATAATGGGCACTGAAAACAAGGCATTCCTCTCTCCTCGTGTATTTTTTCTGTTAGTTTATATCTTTCATGCAGCAAAAAGACAACAAATGCTCTTTATGACACCACACATCACAGAGCGTCCTTAGATCTCTGAAAGTAAAACAGACAGTTCAGAACAGAGACCTGAGCAAGCTTAACTTTGATTTTTGCCCTCTACTACAAAGATGACGTGCCTTACTTTAAAGCAGAGGCTGATTCACCTGCAGGGAATGCACGCTGCATACAGCCCTATGGAGGAACAGTCTGCGAGGTAAAAGGTGTGAAAGGATCTCAGTTTTCTTACGGAATTGCCATTTTTTATGTAATAGCAACAAACTGGATAGAAACCTTGAAGACACTCCTTCCTTTGGCCAGTCCTGCTAACCCTTAACAACCCAGCAGGTGAATTATCTTATGCCTGAGTATCCCACATAGTGTGGCTCAGGCCCTTTATACCCACTTCACATATTTATTTATTGCCTACATTATTTTGGGTTTCCTGGGTTTTCCTGACCTTCACTTCACAGCTGTGTCATCACTGCTTCAGACTGAAATTACTGAGATGAACCCCATTTTCACCAAGGCTGTCTCTAAGGATTTCCTCTTCGCTCCCAGCAGCAGCAAAATCAAACACCCAAATCCCTGCCCTCTTTTTGGTTAATTTCTCAAGGTATACGATCTATAAAGTAAGGGATGACCTGTGCTTTGTATGTTAATGTGCATAAAAAAAATCAGTGGGAAGATGGAGTGGGATGCCTTTGAAGTAGAAGATTTGGATTCAGTTTTGAAATCAAAAGTCTTTCTAAAGGAGAGAGTGAAAGAAAAGCCATGAAGCTGACTGGAAGTAGCTGTGATTAGGTTAGCTTTCTGCAGTACTGTTCAGCAAAGAATGTCAGGTTTTTGCAAGCATTAGGCACATAGGTAAAACTAATTTAGCTTGTATTAAGTTGCCTACTCTAGCACCTCCCATCCACACGTAAGCCAGAGTAGCTCCTGCTGGAACTGACCCAGAGCACACATGATCTGGCAAAGAAAAGGGAGAAGAAAAGCCTTCCAGGAATAAATGTCCAACTCCTGCTTTGTGGCCGCCAAGTCCAAGCCCAGCTGCTCCCTCCTAGTCTGAAGCCAAGGAGTTTAAATACCTGCTGAGCATCACCTGGTTAACCCCACTTTGCAAAGACCCAGTACCCAGCTCCCGGAACCGAGAGCTGAGCCCAGGATCCAGCTGCAGCTGGCAAAACATTCACTCATCTAATTGCAGCACTGTACTCACCAACTAATTAAGCTCTGCGTTAAGTTTTGTGGGTAATGAACACTACCCTTCAATTCACAAACGGGGAGACAGAGAAGTGTCTGCAAAAAAGCAAGAGCCTTTTTGGCTGCCAGAAGGAAAAGGTAAAAAGCAACAAAACCAGATGCAAAACTCCTGATTAAAAGCCTTTTGTTGCTTTTCTTGTTTATCAAAAATGATTCTAAGAGTAAAGGTATATTTTTATCTTATCAGGTGATCATTTCATCACTTCAGAGCATGATAAAAGTATTATTTATTGTTATTAATGTGTGCTGCCCACTCATTTAACCCAAAGGTAGATGGGGAACAAAATTCACTCAAGAAACAAGAATTTACCTTGTACTAAAGTTCAAGGTGTAACCCCGATATCAAACCCAGTGCTAATGACAGCAACTTAAAGGACTACAAACCTGAATAAAAATCCCTATGATGTGCTAATGAACCAGGCTAATTATAAATCCCCGTTCAATATATATGTGAGGGGAAGACTTTAAAAGGTACCGGTACTTTTCATCAAGGTATCTCAAAATACAAAGAATAATCTTGTAATTAAGGCAGAGGCATAAAAACCTCCAAATACTAGTATTTCAATCCTTCTCTGTCTCGTTCCTCCTACAGAACTTTTGGCAAGAGGAAGATTTTTCTACCCCAGCTGCAGTGTTTGGCCAAACACTTCTTTATCTCCTGGAATACCTCAAGGTTACACACGTGTCAATTTGTAAAGTATCTTGAGATCTGGCTTTTGTGAAATATAGTAAGAAGTTAGGATTATTTTAGCTGCTTATAAAAAGCTCATGCCACGTACTTTAGCTGCCGGGGCTCGCAGTCCAGTCCGGGTAAGAGGAGTCTGGCTGTTTGCCTGATATCATCACTGTCCACAGTCAAACTGCGCCGGTGCTCAGCGTAGGTGATGGCCACTCGCATCCACTCCATCAGTGGTGGCAGAAGCATGAAGGGTCTGTGCAAACAAGGAAAAAAATCCATCATAGTTAAGGCTGATTTGTTGTCTTGAACGGCAAAAGCACACTCTGTGGCTTCCTGGGGGTGGCACTGATAAACCCCCCTCCCCTGCAGAGGCAAACTCCGTCCCTGGGCTCAGCAAGGCTGGCAGGTCACAGCGGGTGGAAGGAACTGGAATCGCTTGGCCTTGGTTATCAGAACTGATTCTCACCCAAAACGGGGTCATGCTAGGACATGCTGCTTCCCTGTGACACTGTGGGAAATAGGGTCAGACTGAATATAAGGGACCTATTTCTGCTACGTAGGTGTGAGCTGGCAACGTGTGCTCGTATCCCAGAAAGCCCCCCGCATCCTGGGCTCATCCCCAGCAGCGTGGGCAGCAGGGCAAGGGGGGGATTCTGCCCCTCTGCTCTGCTCTGGGGAGACCCCCCCCAGTGCTGCCTCCAGCTCTGGGGCCACCAACAGCAGAAGGACATGGAGCTGTTGGAGCAGGGCCAGAGGAGGCCACGGAGATGCTGGGAGGGGGGGCTAAGAGAGTTGTGGGGTTCATCCTGGAGAAGAGAAGGCTCCGGGGAGACCTTCCAGCCTCTTCCAGTCCCTCAAGGGGCTCCAGGAAAGCTGGGGAGGGACTCTTGGTCAGGGAGGGGAACCATAGGAGGAGGGGGAAGGGTTTTACATCAAAAGAGGGAAGATGGAGATGAGATCTCACAGAGAAAGTCTTTCCTGTGAGAGTGATGAAACACCAGCCCAAGGTTGCCCAGAGAAGCTGTGGCTGCCCCATCCCTGGAGGGGTTCAAGGCCAGGTTGGATGGGGCTTTGAGCAACCTGGGCTGGTGGGAGGTGTCCCTGCCCAGGGCAGGGGGTGGGACTAGATGATCTTTAAGGTCCCTTCCATCCCAAATCTTTCTATGATTCTATGACTCTACTGTTATCAGCTCTAGGTCAGGTCCCCCAGCTCCAGTAGCCAATATTTGGATCAGAAGGGCTCTTCATCTCAGGGGTACAGCTCATCTCATAATTGCATCTGTTGTTCTAAATAACCCATATACACACGCTGCTCCACCACCCACTTAGTAACACTGAAAATATTCTTGAGTGTTTGAAACTTCAATTAAACCAGGCTAATTCTGTGCTACCTCCACGATGTTTACATTACATTATCACTCTCCGGTGACTTTTCACATCCCACATTTCTTACACACAGAGCTCAGGCCTCTGTTTTTGCACAAATGACCCTGTAGATCAGAGCAGAACTGATGCAGCTGTGTTTTAACGTGAACTGGTTCGCTAGGGAGGAAGGAGTAGAATCAAAACCATAACAACTAACGCGGAGACTTCTCTGGGTAAGAATAAATGGACACCGCTACTTAAATTGTAAGCAATTTGGGGAAAAGCAATCTGTCTGCTCCTAATTTGTGCAGAACATCCAACACAGTGAGGTTTTACTCGATATGAAGGCAATAAAGGAATATAAATACGGTAATAATAGCAGCAACAGCCGCCAATCTGGACTAGTTTATGAACAGCCCCCCTCCTTACTCCTGCAATAAGAATGAACGCAGGGCTGAGATTACACATTAATATATGGGTACCACAGGACTCTCATACACCACGTATCTCATCCATCCTCTCAATATACAGCCAGACTGATCAATTATTTGCTTGATTTTTCCCCCCGAGGATGCCTGCCACCCTGGTGGAAGGCTCAGAAACGCCAGCTGTAATTGAAAATACCTTTTCCATTTCCAGTAACAAATTTAATAACGCTGGGGGAAAGAAGCCCTTTTCATTTAAGCATTCCAAAGAAAATAACTGAGGGGAGAAGGTACCAAGTCCTTTACAAAGTTCAGAGAAAAAAAAAGATAAATACCAGAAAATACAAAATTATTTTGGCATTTATAAAAGGAGCTGAACCTACGAAAGGCATTTTCAAAGCGGCGCACGTATATGTGTGTGAGCACAGTCAGAGCAAGCAACACCAATCTCGTTAGAAACCATTAATCAATAATGGGATTGGCCAGCAGAACTCCCTTTGTATGACTTTGAACATCCTTCAGGGTGGAATAATTCCACTCTGTAAAATACATGCCATCTGCTTCCATTTTTCCAGTTGCAAGGTGCACTCTAAAACGCTGCCATTATCTCTTTACAAACAAGTGCACTCTGTTTCCCTCAGCTCCTTCTCTTCTCCTGCAGCATCTCCAAAACCAGAGGTCCTTTTAAGCATCTGATCGATCCCGGGTTGCCAATACAAGGCTGTTTTTAACCAAACACCTACTTACTGCTTTTACCAGTTATTTCTAAGTCAAACAATAAAAATACCAGGGCTTCATTCATCACTTTGAAAATCACCCAGCAGCTCATTAGTTAGACTTTTTCTTGAAGTCCAGCTTGAATCCCCCAACCAGTTCAGGCTTTCTAACTTGTCCCAGACCCCTGGGATGGGATGGGATGAACCCCTCCAGCACAGGGTGGATGAGCTTTAAGGTCCCTTCCAACCCAAATTACCCTATGATTCTGTGATTCATTCTATGCCTGACTCCCCTAAGGGAAGGACAGCAATCTGCAACAGGCATTTAGGAGATGCCCTTCAGCAGTCTGTTCCAGAGAACTTCCACCCTTATCTGGCCTACAAAAGAAGCATTTACACCTTTTAAATTCAGGTACTTAAGGGAGGAGCCCGAATTAATTATTTAGACTTTCTAATTACTCAGCAGAACCTGTAATATAGGATTCAAAGCTCCTGAGAGGCAGTGAGGACAGAGGGGTAAACTAAAAGCCCCAGAATTAAATATGCAAAGTTAGACGGAGCGAACATTTCCGGAGCAATTGGAAAACTCATCTTACAAGTGATTACATCTGTCACCTTTTACGGTAGATAAACTATCCAGGCCACATCACAGCTTCCTGGACACTGTCATGGTGGCAACACTGGTTGATCCAGCACAGCCCTGATCATCCTGTCAGGTAAGGAGCCAAACCTTGGTGACGGTTACACGTGGCACAGGGGCAGTGAGCACCTGTGGTCACCAACAGAAACCACCACTGAGTCTGCACCAGAAATAACAGGTAAGGTGAAGAGAAAGTTCCATTCTGCTAAAAATCCACATGTGCCAGGGTTATAAACGGCTCGTGGGCACAAACAGACCTTGAATGTGGAAAACTCGGTTTGGGAGGCACGGGAAGCAGGAAGAACTTCTTTTGCTTGTTTATTTTTTTAATCTCAACAGATTTTTCCAAAGGCTTTAAAACCCACAGCTCCACAGACTGCCCGGTTACCCCGTGCCCAAAGGAGAGCAGGCTTTGGATTGCAAGAAGAAATGTCAGGAAGGACATTTTCCTCCTAATTTGTCCCAACCCCACCACTTGCATCGCTGTGTGAGTTGGATAAATCATATTTCTATCAGCAATGATAATGACTTCAATTTCTATTTTGCTGCAGAAGCTTTATTTCTCTTGAAAATGTCTAGCTTGAGGATGAGCTTTCTATTTTCTCCCTGACACACACGCACACTTCTCTTTAACCCAACTAATTCCACCTGGCCGTGCTCACAGGAACAGCCCTGTTACTTTGCTCAAGGACACGACACCAGATAAGCAGTATTATCCCATGATCCGAGGAAAAAAGAAAGATATTCAGTTCAACTGAATGAAATGCCAACGTTGGGTTGTGTCACACTAAGAAAATAAATGCAATTATTTGTTTTCTAGAAAATAAATGGAATTATCATCCCTCTGGCCCTTAACCTGGGTGTTTATCTGCCTCCAGGGAAACACTGATCATTTCACAGTCTGAAAAACACTGGAGGAGGGGAAGGAGAGAAACCTTCACGGAAAATTAACTGGGAGATGCTGCAAGCTAAAGAATTGATTTCTGTCTCCGCACTTCTGTCTGTGCCATTTCTGTACTGCCCATTTTTCTCTGGACTTTCTGACATTCAGAAGCATTTGTCAGCTCATTAGATTCTGCACATGAAGTAACCCAGCCCGTGGAAACTGTCACACTCACCGCAGTAGTTCACTGGGGACACGTATTCTCTGGTGTCCATGACGAAGGATGCCACCAGTGTTTGGTTCAGTTTCTTGCCACAAAGTTGTCTTTGAGTGTAAAGGGGGAAGTACAAAGCAGTGGAAAGTAACATGGACACCGCTCATCTACTCTACACCTTGTAAAGAATCTCAGTAATGTCTGTTGTCATCATGTGCCATCAATATTTTATCCATAGGCTCTTGGAAATTTTCTCCATTTAGAATAACAGGGGATCAGGCTGGTGCTGGGTGAGATGTGCTCTGGAAAGAATGGACTCTATTGTGGGCTTCTTCCCCCTCATTTGAACTAAACCCCGTTGGTTTTTTTCAGACATAACCAAGAAGGATGGTGGTAACAGCAGTTGGCAGAGAACTGGCAGCAAGCTGTAATTTTTTCCTGGAAAATGTTCTACACTCATCTGATTAGAAGGGCCCAGGACGTGACTGGCACATGGAGATCACGTGCGGTCCTTGAGGATGTGCTGTGGGATCACAGACTTTCAGTGTTAACTTGTGCATCACAAAGGAACTAGCCCCCAAAGTGCTCTCTTCTGAGCATTTTTAAGAACCCTGGGGCCAAGACATTTTTGGCAGAGAGAAATTAATTGTATGCAAAAAGAGAAGAGCTCCAGAGGAGTTAGAAAATTATGTTAACCCTCTTCTGTGTTGAATGCTTGGAGCTTGACTTGCAGAGGTGAGGAAGACCTGCTATCTCCCATGGAAACAGCAGGTCTTTCCAGAAGAAACAGCCATTCTATCAAATTCTTCCCTCCCGGTGACAAGATTTGCTGGAGAAAGGAGGAGCAAGGGGTGGAGGAGGCATTTTCCCTGCAGCCACCTCTCTGCTCCTCCTGTGCTATTTTTGGTCACCTCCCTTTTTGCTACAGCAAAACAAAGAGGGAGCCAACAGTGACAGCAACATCAAGAAAGAAAAACCTTGTTCTTCTAAACAAGAACCTCCTTCTTCTA